TGAGGTTGGAGGCCATCGCTACTAGGGTGGAGGCCATCGCTACTAGGTTCCTTAAAGTGTTAACGTTTTTTTTCCAAAAGTGGCAGAGGGGGAGGTCATTGCTCTGAGGTTGGAGGCCATCGCTACTAGGGTGGAGGCCATCGCTACTAGGGTGAAGGCCATCAGTACTAGGTTTCTTAAAGTACTTTTCTTAAGGTTTGTTTTCAATAGTGGCAGAGGGGGAGGCCATCGCTCTGAGGTTGGAGGCCATCGCTACTAGGGTGGAGGCCATCGCTACTAGGTTCCGTAAATTAAAGTATGTTTCTTAAGGTTCTTTTTTCCAAAAGTGGCAGAGGGGGAGGCCATCGCTCTTAGGTTGGAGGCCATCGCTACTAGGGTGAAGGCCATCAGTACTAGGTTCCTTAAAGTATTTTTCTTAACGTTTGTTTTCAATAGTGGCAGAGGGGGAGGCCATCGCTCTGAGGTTGGAGGCCATCGCTACTAGGGTGGAGGCCATCGCTACTAGGTTCCTTAAATTAAAGTATGTTTCTTAAGGTTGTTTTCCAAAAGTGGCAGAGGGGGAGGCCATCGCTCTTAGGTTGGAGGCCATCGCTACTAGGGTGAAGGCCATCAGTACTATGTTCCTTAAAGTACTTTTCTTAAGGTTTGTTTTAAATAGTGGCAGAGGGGGAGGCCATCGATCTGAGGTTGGAGGCCATCGCTACTAGGGTGGAGGCCATCGCTACTAGGTTCCTTAAAGTATTTTTCTTAACGTTTGTTTTCAATAGTCGCAGAGGGGGAGGCCATCGCTCTGAGGTTGGAGGCCATCGCTACTAGGGTGGAGGCCATCGCTACTAGGTTCCTTAAAGTTTTAACGTCTTTTTCCAAAAGTGGCAGAGGGGGAGGCCATTGCTCTTAGGTTGGAGGCCATCGCTACTAGGGTGGAGGCCATCGCTACTAGGTTCCTCAAAGTTTTAACGTTTTTTTCCAACAGTGGCAGAGGGGGAGGCCATCGCTCTTAGGTTGGAGGCCATCGCAACTAGGGTGGAGGCCATCGCTACTAGGTTCCTTAAAGTTTTAACGTTTTGTGGCAGAGGGGGAGGCCATCGCTCTTAGGTTGGAGGCCATGGTTCCTTAAAGTATGTTTATTTAAGTTTGTTTCCAAAAGTGGTACAACAGGATGTGTACTGCCAGGCAGATCGGCTACAAAGCTGGGAGGAGCGATGGGCGGTGAATCGGATGCCTGTCGACAGTCGTTTTGTGCTTGAGCGTTTGGACTTCAGGATGTGAGCCACTGTCAAAATCATACGTAGCGTTAAGGTTTTATAATGTTATATATATATATATAATTGATCGTTTCGGAAAACGAAGCCGGAAAACCAAAGAGAACGCCTCTTCACTGTACTCTAAGAAGTTCCTTTGCTGTGCTGGTAGTATCTTTTTAAATGAAGTTCCTTTGCCATTGCTGTACTTCACATTGTAAAGGTCTGGTGGTAATATAACTCACCTGGTGAACAAGCAGACAATAGTATTAGTAGCCTAACTGGTGCAATTCCTCAAAAATGAAGCCGGAGAACCCAAAACGAAGCCTCAGTAGAAACGATCATTTTGCCGATCGCTCATGTGTCCAAAAAATACTGTATGTGTGTGTGTGTCTCTCCTGTTGTTGTGGGGAGGAGTGGGCGCAAAGAAAACCGGCGAAAATAGAGGAAGAAGGCAAGCTGCCGTAGCTTGCTATAAGTAGCCTAAAGAACTACCAGCTTCTTGGTGACCTACCCTGCCAAAAAATGAATGTGTTCTTGTTTCTTTCCACAATAATTAGCAATAGCTTGGGGTTGTACACTCTTTAGGCAGCTGGGCCACCGGTCACATTTAGGTGGTGTCTCGGTCACATTTAGAACACCCAATGACCATGGACACCATTCGGGTCTTTGCTACTCACCCATTGGAGAATGGAAAATGCATCCAAGGACAAGTTGGCACTTGGATGATGCTGCTTGCTTGAAAAAGAGTACTGTTGGCTGCCGTAGAAGCTCAACTCAGAGAGTAGGGAAGAAAGAGGTGCAGAGCACGGCAGAGCACAGTATTCTTGGAGCTTCGCTCTGTCAAGGTGAATCCTCATTTAAAGCATCACTTGGCACAGCTCATAGACCCGAAAGCATCAGTCGCCGGTGGTATGGGCCCTCGTGTCCTGGTACCATTGTGTGGGAAGAGCGTGGAGCCTTGGCAAGCACCTTAGTAATGCCTCTTTTGGCAGCAGCATGCGCTTCTGTTCGTGTCATGTCGAATTTTTTCGCCAGAGGGGCGGGCAAGCCGCTAAGAAGCTAGTAGCCTAAGAACATATTATCATATTATATACCAGGAGCTGGACGCAGAAGGGTTTGGGCTCTTGGACTGCCAGGCTCGCACAAGTGAACATTAAATTGATACTTAGAGGTTTTTGGTATATTTCCTCCCTTCCTGCCTTCCTTCCTTCCTTCCTTCCTCCCTTCTTGCCTTCCATCCTTCCTTCCGGAGGGTGAGTTGCTTTGCTTTACATTATGACTATGACATCCCCAGCACTGAGGACATGGTATTTCTGTCACGTCAAGGATATCGTGTTATGGGCGTGGAGGGCGTACGGAAAGCTGTGGAAGAGTTCGCCCAGGATAGCTAGAGCTATAGCTAGGCATCTCATGTTTGCGAAGAAAGAGAGAACTGAGCAAAAATTACAATCCATAAACGTAAAAACAATTGCGTTTCCCTTTTTCGACAATACCAGCACTGTCGACAGTTGCCGAGTACGTAATCTCTTTGATGTGGTCAGCCACAGATGCAACATGATGAAACACCCTTTCAAAGGTGAAGGAATATTGCCCGTCGCCAGGCATTAGATATATTATATCCCTTTCATTCATCTCAGCAATGGGCTCTTTTGACCTGAAGAGGTGTTTTTCCCTTTCTTGCATTTTTCTTTTTCAACGTAGACCTACTTTTCTCTTTTCCCGTGGAAGTCAACTGTTTTTGCACCTGCCCGTCTGACCAGGAGTTTGGCTTGCAGGTTCCTACCGCGAAAGGCTTTAACCTCAGCCAGCAGTTGAATGGGCTCGGGTCAAAAGAATATCACATGACCATCAAGTTAGAAGGTTTAAGATCGCGATGATTGCCCGCCGGAAGGTATTCAATTCACTCTTGTAATGTGAGTAGTGACACACATTGTCATACCATCAACTTCTGTTCAGTTGTGTTCTGTTCCTTCGAAAACGACTGACGTGTGAGTCCAAATGCAAGTACCAGGAGCCCCTAGTAGCGTCCTTGCTCCTAGTAGTAAGGCCAGGAGCCCCTAGTAGCATCTAGTAGCGTCCTAAGGCTTGCAAGGACTTTGCATGACTTCGCTTCTTTCCGCCTAGTAAGGTCCGACGATGCATGTCAACTTCCCACCAGAGGTGGATACGAAACGCTTCCGTGGCCATGCGGTGCTGATCAGTGCTGAGCAGACGAGGTGTTGTTGGGACCAATGCCTTGTAGATCTCGCACGGGTCGTGTGTTTCTTTGGTTTCTCAAGCTTGGGTACTTGGCACCACCAGTACATGACCTACATGATCTGAACCACTTGACCTTCATTGTTAGTCTTTTGGATAGCCACCATCTCCATCGGTCTCCATGATGTCGATTTGCAGGCGCGAACCGCCTCCCCCGGTGATTTTCTTGGAGGGTGATTTTCTTGAGCTCAACGCGGAAATGGCAAAGGCCTTGGTTCCATTTGAGGCGAGGGCAACACTCAGATGATGATGATTATTATTATTGTTATTATGATATATTATGATTATGATTTTGGGCTCAACAGTATGTAAACAACAATAAGACTAATGTCGTGGCTCTTTTTGGGTCTTGGCGTGATCCTCCTATCAAAGGGGTGTCATGGCAAATTTTTTTGCAGATGTGCCAAACACGGGAAGGAAATGTGCAGCGGGGGTTAACATTTTTTGACGCAGTCCGTTCCTTGCAGGCAGCCTTCGATCGAGGCAGCCTTGTTGCTGTAGAGCCAGATGACCGGAAACCCTATGCCACAGCGTGGCAGGGCTCAATTCTGTTTCAAGCGGCATCAATGGGGCATCATGCTTGTTTGGAAGCGTGGCTGTTTGCACTGTATGCCGTCCTGTACTAGAAGGTCTAGAAGTTGCATCAATCACGATGGGCCACTTGAAGAACCATGGAGGTTGCAGAGCCAGACTTACTTGAATTCCCTGTAAAATTGGCCGAAGAAGGTCATCTCACATCCTTTCAATGGATCTTTTTTGTGGCCAGCGTCTTTTCTACTGTGGCTTGTTTGAACTGACATTGTTTCATCATGTTCCACTCACACTCCAGGTTGACGCATTTGATGGCCCCGGGTGGACGTGTCCTTCTGGTCACAGTGGAGCATGACGGTTTCGGAGAACGAAAAGGGCCACCCTATCAGGCTCCGGGATAGAGATTAGGGGGCATGGTCACGCGATTTAGTGTTTGATGGGATGTTGTTTTAAGTTGCTACCCTTCTAGGTGCTTGAGGCTGATGTGTACGGACCTTAGTTGAGGAGAAGTGTCCAAATGTTGGGTTTATCGCACCAAGCATTCATTTACAATATATAACTTACAGTACTTACATGTACTTACATATCATGAGATAACATTAACATGTATCACAGTTGTGAGCCTGTGCTCCAGCGAGGCGCAGTTTGTTCGGCAACAATTTTCATGTGGAAAGACTGCGAAGTGTCAATGCGCTCGACAAGACGATGCAAGCACGTGGTGCCACGCGCCACTCATCCAAGTTGTGCCTTTCAATGCTGTTAGAGAGCTCATAGCAATATATAGTGAAAGCTACCACCGTCAATCTATCAATCTTGGATTTTACCTGCCATCCTTGTCCTCAATGTTTGGTTGCAAAAACATATCTTGAGGCTTTGAAGAATCCGTCTACCTGCTCACCAAGCGATAAGTTGCTGATAAAATTATTGAGCGTGTGGTCCTTCTCTTGATTGCTTTTGTTTTTTCATGGTTTTGCACTCAGACACCACTACTGCCACTACTGAGCTTAAGGTGCTAAGATGTTGATGGTGCTTTCGCATCACCTTGGTTGAATTGTAGTGTTGTACACAACACAGGTGGAAGAAGTTGCATTGCGTTGATTGCTTGTCCTGGTCACTGAGTCACAGTGTGGGGAGCTGCTGCCTTGTCGTGCTGGTATCGCCTGGGGTGGCGGGGCATTCAGAGTGAATCACATTGAGACAGAAATGGCTTCGACGTTCTTCACAGACAGAGTTGAAAGGGTGTTGCTTACTTGTTCCAGTCCAATTGATTTTGCCTATCATTCCTGCATATTCCTGCTTTTCTCTTTGCCGAACGGATTTGTGGCAACGCGGCAACCATGACCTCGCACAAGTTTGCTTTATTAGGTTTTTTTGCTACTTCCAAGGCAAGCCTTTCAAGCTAAGCTTTTGCATACAGAGCGCTTCTTTGGAGGGTACGCCACCTAGATACAAGAAGTCTCAGAACTTCAGAAACTGCATGAAACAAAAGGTGCATGCATATATTGGATGTTGAACAGTTGTTCATAGAATCAGTTATTCACAAGATTTGAGTTGAACTTTCTGCATTTGGTGAAGCCCACGAAGCACAAAACAAGTAATTATCACATGTTGTGAAAGTGTTGAGGCTCTGAATTTACTGCCTCCAGCAAGCCTTATGTTGCTGCACTCGTCTCAGTGATTTGCGTCAGCTCAATTGTGCAAGGAACAGCTCCGAAATAGCTTTGACCTTTGCAGTTCTTCTTTCCCGAGACATTGGTGTAGGGGCTTTGCATGTGCGCGTTGCAACATGTGTCTCAACAACAAGGGAGTCTCGGGTTGTAGGGCGCCCCTTTGCCCCTGAGGCCCATGTCCATGTCTTTCGTTGGATTGCATCGGATTCCTTTTGCTTTCTATCGCAGTGGAACTTCTCGTGGTCTGTTTTTGTTGGAGAAAGACTTGCCACCTCTTGGCTCCACGCGAGATGCAATTTTGTGCCAACTCATGGGCAGTGGGCACCCCCAGCAGTTGGGTGGCTTCGGGGGAGGCACGGGTCCCACCAGCAAGGTTGCAGTTGTGGGCCCACACGAAGAACCTGGCTCTGTAACATACAACTTTGCCCAGTGTGAGGTGGAGATTGCCAATGTGGACAAATCTCATGGAGACTGTGGGAACATGCTAGCTGCTGTTGCACCCTTTGCACTGGAACGCGGTGTGGCAATGGGTACAGAATTTGAGACAAGCACAAAGTTAAAGATTCACAGCTTGAACACTGGTGCCTGTTATGAAGCCAATGTGCCTACCACAATCAGCTCTGGCAAGCGATGTGTACAATACTTGGGCAATCTTGAAGTACCGGGCGCTCCTGGATGTGCAGCTCCCATCAGTTTGGCCTCGCTTGGAGTAGCAGGTACACAGACAGGAAAACTTTTGCCAACAGACTGTCCTGTTGATACCTTGGATTTCGGACTTGGCAAAGCCAAAGCAACACTTTTGGACTTTGCACGCGCACTTGTTATTGTGGATGCAGCTGATATTCTTCCAAAATTAGGTTATTCAGACTTGGGCGAGATTTCGCTTGAGACAGTCCATGCGGACGCCTCGCTTTGTGATGCCCTGGAGGCTATGAGACGACAAGCAAGCCTGATGATGGGCATGGGGGATTGTACTGGAAAGGATGCCCCGAAGCTTGCACTGGTGGGGCCTGACGGAGAAGGGGCAGAGAAGGGACTTTGCACGCTTGGAGGTTCCCTAACCTGTCGATATTTCGTAAACCCTGGACGTGCAGAGATGCATCCGACCATTGCGATGACTGCAGCTCAGGCACGAGATGTAGTTGGAAACCGCACTGATGATTCTGATTTGGCAAAACATAAGAATGATAACAATTATATATATATATATACAAAGCAAGATTGCAATTTGCAACAATAAGTTTCTCTCAACAGAAGGATCTACGAGATGGGATGTCCGAGCCATGTCCAAAGCAGAAATATTTATGCTTTTGGGGTTGTCCAGCTCATTGTTCGTGGATGTTCATGGTATTCCTCGCCCAGGCGCTTGGTGCAGCCTGCCTCCTTCAGGGCTCCGTGGCCAGAAATGCTTTGGGGAGCGGAGTGCAGGGCTTTGAGCCACAGCCCGATGATGCAGAGACCTTCTCCTTTGCAGTGAAGCATCCTCAGGGAAGCTTCCCTGTCAGCATTGGCATAGGCCCAGGGGACGAACTTTTCCCCATTGGAATACCTTTTTCTGGAAGATACCAGACAACGGTAATGCCGATTGCCGAAGGAACAGCCTTCATCGAGAGAATTCCATGACGGTCGCGTTGTCAAGAAAGAGTTGAGAGTTTGGTCTTGCAAGGTTGCGGTCAACTATTGAGTCTACTGTAACTGGCTTATGTACGGGTTTAATTGTATTTGATCAAACACTGCACAGAGCAATATGAGTTTCGACACGCTGGCTACCCTGGTATCCTGATAGCCTTCACAGTTTTGGGTGTTTTAGCAGAGCTGGTCGCATGGGCTCACATTCTCAGCAACAGTGGTCAGTAAGTGTACCTGTGTCCCGCCATTCGACCAATCTACCAGGATATGTTGGGAAACTAGTTCTTTCTACTGTCGCGCTTCAATGCTGATTCTTACAGCTTTTGGCCCATTGGCATTGGGGAGTGTTGAACCAACCTGCCCATGAAAAGGAGGCGGCTTAGTGTACTGTTCTTGTGGTAACCTTCAGACAGGTTTCCAAAAGTTTCTAGGTTTCACTCCCTTGATGTTCCTGTGCCTTTGTGCTAAATCTCCACGATGGCGGATTGTTAGAACCATAGAAAATCGCTTTCAGAATCGTGGTGTTTTGCATTGTGCCCTGACCCAAGGTCACGACAGCAGGCAAACAAAAGCAAACTGAATGTGGGGACTGGTGTCAGGAGCCTTCACGGAGCTACGACATTGTAAGAAGCGGCAGAACTGAAGGGGCGATTTCTCCAGCTGATATGTTCACGGCATTCCAGCTTGTACCGTTTCTTTTCAACTCGACCGGACACCTCTTCACTCCACAGGAACACGCCAGAAGACTTGCCTGCACGACCACCTTGCTAAAGAAGCGTTTGGCCGCAGGAGGATGGGAAGTGGACCTTTCGCGAGATCCTCACTGTGGAGGCCCGCCATTCCTAATGCTTGAGTTTGGTTCAATATGGTTCAAGTGGTCATCGATCGAGAAACCAAAGCATCAAGAGAGTTCGAGCGACGGTGAGCGCCATATGTCAGGTCTACCCAGACGAGGAGGTTTGCATTTCTATTTGCTGTCGCTTGATCTGCAGATCTGAATTGCCGTTCTAAGTCTGACTGGTAATCATTCCGCTGCTCCTTGTGACGAGGTAGTCAGCAAGTTGACCTCTTAGTAGCTGCACTCTCCTTGGCATCAAAATGTGCTCGGGACCACAGGAACTGGCAGATCGTAAAGTCTACAGGAATTCATGTCGGTGTTGCTGACTTGGCTGACTAGAAGCAAAATTGGCACCCGCATCATAAACATCCAATGGGAAACAGCGAATAAGATGAATAAGTCTAAAAGAGAAAAGCTCAAACAAACCATTATCAATTATCAATTATGTTTGTTCTGGGTTTGTTTCCTGTTTTTCATACTTTTTTCATAGCACAAATCTGCACAGCGTGTGGCTGAGGTCGGCGAAGTGTGTGTTCCAGTTGCTTCTGTGCGGAACACCTGGTGGTTTCAGGTCTGAAGCGTGTGCTGGACGCAGGAAAGCTCACGCTATTCATGTAGTTCCTAGATGCTTTTCCAACGTTGCACCCCTTTTCTGGATGAGTTTTCGTGTAGGTGTCGATAAAAATTGTCAGCCTGCCAACATCATCACATTTAATGTGCAAAGTTTTTGGGGGTTTAAATTCGATCGTTTTGTGATGTCTTGTGAAGGGCTAGACTCGCTCGACTGTAGTGCCAGAGCGACATTCCAAGGTCTTGCCTCAGCTGGTGATGGTGAAGCCCCCAGAGTCCAGCCGAAATGAATGCCAATGGCCAAGGGAAGAATGATGGTGAAGTGGCTTTTGAAGTTGCACTGAGGAGGACCGTGATCTGGAAGGTGTGGTATATGTGGTCAGTGGCATGTTTGGGTGTTCATCAAACAATTTGTGGACGGTGGGGGAAGTAATGCACACAATCAAGGATCATGAAACTGATTGCGTTGCTTGCACTTCTCGACCAGATGTTGCCAGGCCACTCCACAGATCGGCTTCGACCTCCTTAAAGACGGTGTGAAGACAGGCTGGGTCCTTGTACATGTGTGCCATCAATATCGATCAATCAGTTCCAAGGAATCACAGATTACATAGATTCCATGACACTACGCTGACTGTTTGAGCTGCTGTGCGTTTCACGGGAGTTTGTTCAGCTGGTTTCGTGACCATGTGGCAATATGTGGCAATGTGGCATTGATCCATGTGTGCTGGCAGCTTTGCATCAAGGCCGCTGCTACATGTCCTTCGAGACGAAACACCCGCCACCACGGGTAGCCATCAGCGAGACCTGGCCATTTGGCAGATTTAGCATGATTTGTTCGTTTTTTGGCAGATTTTGTGCTGCAGGCTGGTCACAGCCTTGAACATGGTTTATTTATGCTCGGTAAATCCGGTTTGCATTGATCTCGTGACAGCCCAGGTGTGCTTTCAGCAATTAGCAGCTTTGCTGCAATGCATGGCTCACCCTAAGCAGACTAGCCAAGACTCTCGTGCAGCAAATGTTCATAGATGTGTTGTTTTACGTGGCAGTTTGCTTGCACCCTTCCATGAGCGGAGGAGTTAGCGATCTCAAGCGTTAAAGTTAAAGTGGCGATCAGGCCTATTCTTGCTATGAGACGTTGAACTTGTCCTTCCTCCTTTAGTTTTGCACAGATCCAATAACAGTTGTTCCCATCTTCAAACAGCACGTGTTTTGCCGAGACAATGACACACGCGTTGTTGAGATGTAGGGTTAGGTCACATCCACAAGGGTTTTCCAAGTCCAAGTGTCGAGCTGTCAAAGCGAACGAGTCCTGCCTTTGCGCTATGTCGCTATGTCTTTGAAAGTCAGACTGTACCATTTGATACCATTTGTATGCTGGAGCTCGAGGTAGTGAATGGGTCAAAAGACTGTCAGGTAGTTGATGATGTTGATGCGGGTTCAGGTGTTGTTTTCATTTTGTTGGCTTTGCTCTCACTCGCAGCAAGCATCATTCGTTGATTGAAGTTTCAGGGCTGCCAGACAATGAGATTGTGCTTAAAGCTTCACTGTTCCATCAGCTCATGTTGTGTAGCGAACCACGAAGCATGACGCTGTGGACTGCAGCACCCATGGTCAGATGTTCTCAACATGTCTTAACCAGCAAGCCAAGCAAGTAACACTAACACAGAACGATGTCCAGCAGTCTGACTGACTTGACTTATACAGAGATTCCTTGGGTGTCCAAGTGTCCTTCCACGAAGCCACATCAAGCATCAGCTTTAGAACCTGTCGCCACAGCCCGAGTCTGTCGGGATTGTCATTGCCCATGCGGCGCAAAGCATTGCGTAAACAGTGCCATGGGAAGCGTGATCTCATCAAAGCTTCCACCGGTTGGAGACAAAGACCTGAGGACGGGACCTTCTGGTGGCCAGGAGGCCATGGCTATTAGGTTGGAGGCCATCGCTATTAATTAGGGAGGCCATTGCTTCTAGATTGGAATGATTCTGTAGTATTCTTTTCACAATTTTCGTATGCCACCGGATTCCTTGATTCTTGGGGGTAGGCCGTGAGGAGAGCCCGGGAGTAAAGCTTGAGTAGTACAGTAAGTGACATTAAGTGACGAAGTAGTAGCAAGGAAGCTACCAAGCGGGCGCAAAAGGTCTCAGGCCTTCATTGAAGAAGCATGATCCATCTTAAGTCTTAAGTTAAGCCTTAATGATTATTTGGTTCCTAGTTTTTTGAGAAACTCAGAATGTTGGAGTCCAGCGCTTTATGTCCAGACATTTGAAGAGGACTGTCTTATCCTACAACCTCAACGAAAGCCACATCCGAGCTGCGTACAAGCTCTTCACAGAGGCTCCAAGTCCTCAACTTACAGCAACTCTAGAAGGGACGGGAAACAAGAAACGTACGGAGAAAGACTTGTCTTCACATGCTGGGCATGGGTATGTGACACAAGTGACTAGATGTCTATTATATATATTATATATATAGACAGAGAGAGAGAGAGAGAAATTTACAGACGGTCTACGATTCTTCACAATCGCTCCGCCAATCAAGGTGCCAAGTCTTGCACCCTTATCGTGACACCCATGCCAGAGCATTTTGTTCTCTGACAGACTTGTATCACTGTATCCACCTCCTACATGCGACGGTTGAGGCATCCTGTATGCCGTATGCCAAATGCATCCCAATATATCCGAACGCTTTCTTGCGACAGGTTGACGTGGACTCCAACGGAGTTTGGACTGTCAGTGAGATGTACCGAGTTCTGAAGGCGAAAACATCACATTCGCATGTTGTTGGTGTCCTTGGATGAGCAATTAATTCATGGGGGTTCCGGGTTGCCATTGTTAATTAATTGCCATGTTCCCAAACAGTTCCCTGTGTCTAGGACGTAGTTGAGCAGCCGACAGTTCTTGGAGTCGACTTTTTGGCTTCAGGAGCCTAGACTATCTGTTCGAGCTCCAGTCATTGATACCATTTTCTTCATGGGCAGCACACTCGGTCCCATTTTGTCCACGCATGTTCAACGCTTTTGTTTCGATTGTGTATGCAAGAAGCAGCTTTGCACACCTAGGCGACAGCAATAGTGAAGGCAGCATGACCTTCCAGGAGAAATGTGTGAGCATTCATTTAGGTCCGCACAAGTATGTACTGCGTTATATTATTGCATAAATATATATATATATATGTATGTTTTACTCATTTATACACGCACGTATTCTATATTATGATAGTTTGTAGGCTTTGCACAAGAGTTGATTTTCCTTTTGCAGCATACCGCCTGGCCTTCTAGCATACTGCACCGCAGACAAAGAAGTGTTGTTCCTTGCTTTGATTGGAGGACATGTAAGGTATGTATGACGGGGCGTTGGTGCACCTTGATTTCGTTTGCAGAGTTCCATTTTGCGACAAATTGATAGACTTTGCAGTCTAGTGAAGGACTTCTTGGTGACAATGAGTTCATTTTGCGCACTCTCCAAAGAAGAGGCTGCACAGTATTCCAAAACCATGACTATGTGTGCATCATGTTGCATCTGTGTGTTAACATACATGACATTTGAGAGAGAAGAGCTGATGTGAAAGAGGTGGGGCTGCACTGACGGATTCGATCTGACAATGCTTGTTTAGGTTGCACTCACCACGACCTAGGACCTAGCTTCTGAACAGAATTCTTATCCCTTGGCGAGCAAACCATTCTGTTCATCCCTGATGCAATGGATCCATCTCCAAAGACGGCCGCAAAAAAGATAACTGCAATGCCAGGAGCCCCTAGTAGCGTCCTTGTTCCTAGTAGTGAGGCCAGGAGCCCCTAGTAGCGTCCTTGCTCCTAGTAGCGATGCCCTTTGTTACTACTAGCGTCCGTGTGTTTTGCCTTTCGAGATGCTGCAATTTCTCTTCATGATCATTGACATCGACCGAAATGGTGCGCTGAGAGAACAAACATATGAGCTTCTGATGTGAACTCTATGGTGGTTGTCAGTTCTTGGTGTGCTGCTTGCAGAATCACCATGAATCAACAATAGTCACAGGTACTATTGAGAAAGAAGAGCTGTTGAACTTCTTCTCATACATACCTGCTGGTGCTGATGACGGTCAAGGGCCTGGAAGATCAATGATTCCGCTTCCCTGACTCGTGAGCTTAGCCATTTTCGCTTACGATGAGGTCGAGGTGAGCCAGTCTTCCCGGTGAACAACAAAAATGCACTTGAGTCTTGGAAGGCATTGAAATTATAGTGAACAGCCAAGCCATTCGATGCAAACGAGTCATGCCACAGGTCTGCACACAGTCTGCAGAAGTTGATCACAGAGAAAAGTTACTCTCACTGGACTACTTGCACAAGTTACACTTCACAGGTTACACGTCTAGCAAAGCCACTGGTGGTTTGACCCTTTCTGAGAGATGATGAGACGGTTCGTACGACCGCTTCAACCATCAAAATGGTTTTCGTAACGTAAAGTGACGTAATAATAGAGAGTTGTCATGTGGAACGCTTGCCTGGAGGTTAGGATTAGCATGTAGATCTTAAAGCAGACAAGGACGGAAAAGGTGCCGTATGATCGTTGCGGGCTCATCCTCAGATTTGTAATGATTGTAATGAGATTACTGTTTGGGGCCGAATTGTTTGAGGTGGGTGATGAAATTTGTGCGTACACTTACTAGAGTGATTTTATAGATATAGTAACTGGTGTTCCTGGAAGGAAGCTGCAAAAGGAAGCGGGGGTTGATATGGGTTCATGACATTCATCCGATTCATGTTTGTGCCTACGGGTGTAAAACCGAACGTGTGACTACTGCGATTTTGAAGTTGATGCTACGTGAAAGGTGGGGGGGTTGGGGTGGGGTGGGATGGGGCATATTGACGTTCGTTTGCACTTGCTATCTGAAGTTTTAAAGGTGGGGGGGTTGGGTTGGGGTGGGATGAGAACATTGTCATCGTCTTCACGACAAGTAATCTTCGGTTTCATAGCATTGTCATCGGTTTCAC